GCCTCTCTACCCAGCATGCATTGTCGGCCTCACGTTCGAGTGCCCAGGGCCTAACTAACTCAGAGGCCCTGGGCATTTCAGCATTTGCTGAAATCCGAGACTCGGTACACTCCAACAAACTGGCGTGCTGCAACTTTATAGACCCCACTTCGTGAAAGGTTGGCATAGAGGGCTCTTGTTGATTTGCAGGCCCGCCTTCACTTAGGGCGGGCACTAGGCTTGCTGGGGCCTTAGCCGAGAACATGTACATCATGGCAAGGCCCCTACTTGAGGGCTCAATCCTCACACATGGAATCCTCCACAACAATCTTCGTTTCCCGAATTATCGTTGTGAAGATCCAATAGGCTGAAAATATGCCAACGAAAAAAGTTTTAGAGTAATAACAAAACCCATTTCATTCAAATGCAAGATATTTGGAATATCTTTCCTCCGTATGGTACTAGTCATTTTTAACATCATACATAGTTAAGAGGTCCGTCAATGAATCATTTGAGCAAGTCGTGCTAACGTTTCAGAGACTTCTGTTATGAATGGTCATGATTTTTATAAATAAATTGATAAAATAGATATCCATAACGAATTCGATTTTCTCGGACTTTCAATTACAAAAATTGGATTAAGCCCAATAGGGTTATTACAAATCGCGATCACTCTCTGACTAAATTTTTTTTGAATTGTCACCTCTAAAACACTATAAGTCGGATTGTGATCACAAAAAGGCAAATGGATCTGATAACATTTCGTGAAACCATCAATCTTCTCATTGTCGAAAATTTGGGGACCAGTAGCACATGTTCATTAGAGCTATTGGTGGCAGAGCGTGGAAAACCAGCAGAGTACCGACAATGAAAAATGCGACGAGTTGCCGTCACAACTTATTTCATGGTTGAATATCTTTCTCGGCAAGATTATAACCAAATGTACGAACCCTCAAATTTCTTGGAAAGATTACAACCAAATTTATAGATCCTCAAATCATTGAAGGGGTTCTTTTCCCTTTGACCCACTAGTCGTAGAGTGACAGAAATAGTGAATAAGATGAACTGACGCAAAATTTATTCCACAGTATAACTTTTTTTTCTTGAAATATCACAACCAAATGTGCATGGCCTTCAATTTTTAAAGTTTTTGAGGCATTTTAATGAGTGTGAAAAATCGTGGAAGTTGGGGTCCTTTTTCCGTTGGCACACACGTTGTAGAGTGACAAAAATGAAAAATGTGACGAATTGGCACGACATTTTTTTCATAGTCTAAATATTTCTTTTTCAATTTTATGATATTTTAGCAGAAAAAATAACGATCTAATCTACAAGATGTTTAATTTTCAGATTTTTTGCTGGGCTACCAATCGGGCTGCCCGGGCCACCATATTTTCCTGGGTGACCCGACCGTTCAAGGACCACAGAATCCCCTTCCCCCCCCCAGAACAAAAGTACAAAAAATCCAAAAAAAAAACTATGTTATGGAGACAAATAAATTGAGCAAGTTTTTTTTCAGAGTCACATCAAAATTCTTTAGAATTTTTTTTTTTTCCACGGCCGGCAAGTTGTCCGGGGCCTCTTTGCAAACCTAGTTCTTTTGTCAATTCTTTTGAGCGAGAAAAGTTGTCAACGTTGGCACTTGAAAATTGTGAAACTGGACCCACGTACACCTTGCGATTGACACCTTGTATAAAAACACGTTCCTAGTTGATCGAATTCGAATTTATGGGTATCAGATTGAGTTGCAGCTTAAGGACAACACTCGCCTAAACGCAGGGCCTCCAAGCACTGGCTTGACCATTCGTCTGACATCCTTGATCCTGTTCTCTGAATTGTGACTTGTACCTCTAAAGTTGAGAATGATTCCTCTTGTCATCCAATTGAGGACACATCTAGCATTTTAACTTTTGATTTTTGCACCCAAAAGCTTAATCTGACGAGGAAAAAGGGTATTCGCCAAATAGGCAACCCTTACATCCTCCGGCTTGCGAAGCCAATCTTGGGGCATGGATAGGTATAGTCGAAGGCCAATACATATGCCGGATGAGGAAGGGATATAATTAAAGTATGAAGAAATTTCCTTCACTGACATGACAGACTCCATGACCATTTGAACTTCCTTAGTCTACTTATATGGCTTCTTGTTACCTTCTCTTGCCCCATTCAAACTCTTCTTCTTGGAATTCTCGATTGATGTCTCTCTGATCTTTTTATTTCTGCATGACATGAAAACTAAGGTTAGTAAGAGGGAACTTATAGATTGTGTATTTAACTTGGACAAGCTGGGAGGGGGGGAAACGGGGGTTGCAGCACAGACTCTTTAAGGGACATCCTCCGGAAAATGTCGGGGAACATTATATGCGCCCCAGATATCACAAATAACCAATACCCTCCTTCAAATCACTTACCATAGCAACCTTTTGATATTATTAAAGCAAAGGATATTCTTTGGGCGAAGACAATCACAAAATCTTGCAGTTTGGAATAATAGTTCTCGAGTTTCCTACCTACCCCTAAGGTAGTTGGTCCAATTGAGATGCTCCATGGTGGAGCCAAATAAA